CCAAGAATACTATACCTGGCAAGATTATCCTTCATATGGGAAGAAAAGACAAGAATGTTCACAGACAAACAAAAGAATTTACCAACACCATACCGGCACTCCAAGAAGTTCCGAAGGGAGTGCTATATTAGGAAAACTAAATACAGTCACACAGAAATAAAAGAGTTCAAAAACAACTAAGAAAATGGCCAACTTAATGATAGGGACAAATCTGGAGTTGAATGTTATCTTCCAGAACTTAAACAAAAAGACTGGACCACACCAGCAGATAGATTAAGTACATGAAACTGAACTGGTGAAAAAGAATTTTATGACTTCTGAGAATTTTATGACTTCTGATTAAAACATTACTGATTTTCTTCTATGCTTTCCTTTCCATATTTAAGGATTTTTGTCTTCTCTTGAGCTGTCAATAGGTTCATGTACCTATTTGAACAGAATCCTAGACTGTTTCTTGGCTTTAAGTCTTAAGCAAAGTACTCTTAACATTTTAAAAATTTTGATTTATTAAAGCTACAACTGCCTTTTTTTTTTTTTGGAGAGGTTTTTCCTATAGGGCGCGTGTGCTCGCCAGACAGAGAGATAGAAAGCGAGAAATCAACCCCCAGGGGGGATGGCCACGCCACAGTCCCTTCTCCTCCATTCTCCTCTCGGGATCTTGGGCATGCATGCACACGTGCCTGGCATGTTTTAAGCCACTGGGTCCAGGACACGAACTGCGGTCGACTACATTGGAGTCCAGCGACATAGCCATTACGCTAACTGCTGGTCTCTAAGACTGCCTTTCTTGAAATTAAAAATATAGTAGGAAAATACCTAGTAAACTATATAGCCTCAATCAGGTGCTACTTTATAGTCTATTCATTCTACTCACAGAGTTTCATGCCTAAAGTCAGACTTGTGTTTACAGGTATGTATATTTTAGCTGAACTTGTTATTAAAAGTAGTTTGATTAATTAAGATGTTTTTTGACTCAATAAAATGTGGGGGGGAAAAAAGAATGGAAAGCAACTGCAGATACCAGAAACAGTGTGTGTACAGGGGTGGGAAATGGCAGAGGGTGAGAAATAGGGGGAAATATATATATATAAGAAACAAGAAATGGAAAATTATTTGTTGATGATAACATGTATGATTAAGCCTCTATACAGCCTATTCTGGGTGGGAAATTGCGTTTTGTAAGCTGTGATGATGTTCAGTGAATAAATGTAAAATAAATTAATTAATAAAGATGTTATTCTACTAACATTTTGTTTAAATTGTTCTCAACAAGAAATCTTTTCCCATTCTTATCTTTGTTTTATTGTATGTGTGAGTATATTCTCTGGTTGTTTTTAAGATTTTTCTCTATAACAGTAGTTTTGACATGACATGTCTGGATACAGTTGTCTTTTTTTTTTTTTTAGTGCTTGACATTCACTGAGTTTCTTATGATTTGTGGTTTTAGAGTTTTTTTTATCAAAATTATAAAGTTTTGGCCATTATTTCTTCAAAATTTTTTTTTCTATCCCTGTTCCTTTCCTTTGGAGACTCTAATTACACATAGATTAGACTGCTTGAAATTGTCCCACAGCTCACTGATACTCTGTTCATTTTTAAAAATAATTATTCTTTTCTTTCTATGTGTCATTTTAGATAGTTTTCTAATTCATTTTACATATTTCTACATCTTCAAGTTTACTAATCTTTTCTTCTGCAATGTCTAATCTGCCATTAATCCTATCTAGTATATTCTCCATGTAAAAATTGTAGTTTTCATCTCTAGAAGTTTGATTTAGATCTTTTAAAATATCTTCTATGTCACTATTTTTTAAAAATATATGTAATACAGTTACAGCAAATGTGTATTTTCTTTGTTAGTTCTAACATTTGTGCTACTTGTGGGTCAGTTTTTATTATTTATTTATTTATTTTGAGAGAGTTTTGCTGTAGGGTGTGTGTGCTCACTGGAGAGACAAAGAGACAGAAAGTGAGAAATCACGCTCTCCCCCCAGCCGGGGAGATGCCTTGCCGCAATCCCTTCTCCTTCATTCCCCTTTTGGGACACTTTGAGCACACATGAACATGCACTTGGTATGAGTTTTAGGCTGCTGGTTCCAGGATTAGAACCACAGTCAACTACATGGAAGTCCAGTGATGTAACCATTATGCCATCTGCTGGTCCCTTTGATTTAAAAAAAAAATAGAATGATTTAATTTTATTTATTATTATAATTATTTTAAAATTTGCTAGAGGGGGAGGGAGGTGGGAGAGAGAGGGGGGGGGCTTCAAGTCTTGAACTTGAACCATGGTCAGTCATGTGGAAGTCCAGTACCTCAACCACCATGCCACCTGCTAGCCTAGGTCAGTTTTGATTTATTGGTCATTATTTCTTCATGATAGTTCAGAATTTCCTGCTTCTTTGAATACTTGTCAAGTTTTGATTTGAGGCCATACAGTATGAATTTTACTTAGGTGGGTGAAAGATATTTTTGAATTTCTTTATTTTTGAGCTCTGTTCTTGCCTGAAGGTAATTTCTTTGTAAACACTTTGTTAGGTAGTCCTGAGAAGCAATAAGTCTTGGGCTCTGTATATCTTCCTTCTGAGGCAGGGCTTTTCTGAATAAATTATCCCATGTATTGTGAATTATGAGGAGTTCAGTTTGGTTGATGTGAATAAGTACCATTCCTGTTGTAAGTACTAGGTAGAACAATGACTTGCTTCAAAATGTAGAATGTGGAAGAAGTGAGAGTGTGTCGACTAGTATGTTAAAGATATTTTTGCTTCCTTTTTGCTTCTCCTTTCTTTTGGATCAGTTGATTTTGAAGAAACAGCTGCCATAGAATGAGGACCTTCAGCAGCCCTATAGAGAGGCCCAAGTAGTGAGGAAACAACTCCTGCTAATAGTCATGTGACTATGGCATCTTGAAACTATATCCTTTAGCCTCGGTGACTACCACCTGGCTGACAACTTGCCTACAGCCTCATGAGGGATCCCAAGCCTGACCCACCTGTCTAAACCACCTATGAATTCCTAACTCATGTTAACTATGAGATAATAAATGTTTATTGTTTTAAGCCAATACATTTTGGAATCATTTGTTTCACAGCAATAGACAATGAATTGAGGAACCAAATTCTACTCAAGCTGTAGAAAGGATCACTTCTCATCTTCTAACCCAACCTGGTAATATGAAACTGACAAAATTACCAGACTTAGCAATTGAAGCAGTTGTACTCAAAACATTCCGTATATGACTTCTTTTGAGAAGTAAACTCCTGGTGTCTGAGCTCAAGGTACTGTTAATGCAATTAGAATAACCCAAGCAGAATAAAGCAGTGCATGTTATTTTCATCCTTTATAGTATCAAGAGAGATGTTATCTTTCTACTTTCTATGAGGGAAACTAAGGCATTAATAAAAATGAGTACATTCTAGTCCGATATTACATTAAAGATTCAGCAATGGAATTAGGAAATTTTCTTCTTTGGAAATCTTAAATAAAAGGATTTAAAAAATCTATTTAATAAGATATATTAACTGCAAGACTACACCAATGAGATGCATACAACTTCTGGAAGTATCTCTTATCCCTGTGATTCTGAACTTTATACAAGTAAGAAAGGGAATTTTGTTTGAGGTGGAAATATAATTAGGTGTCTGTGTGTGAGGAAGCTTTGTAAAATCATTACTTCTAGCTCAGTCACTGCCTTCAAATACTCCGGGGGCAGTTTCATTGGAGTTTTATATGGAACATAGAGAAAGTGTTTTCATGCTTCTGCAGTTAGAGCTTTCTGAGCAAATAATACTGGTACCTGGATAAAAAAGGACAGTTCTTGGACATTAAAGCTGGAGCCCTCAGGGGGCCATCAGGATTATAGGGGGTAAGGTGCTGGATCCCACATGGCTGTTGAATGGTTCAAATTCTAGATCGAGTAGTTTGAAAATCAGGCTGTGTGCATATGTGTGCGTGCCCAAGATCCTGAGAGGAGAATGGAGGAGAAGGGATTGTGGTGTGGCCATTTCCCCTTTGGGTCACTTCTCACTTTCTTTCTCTCTGTCTTTCTGTCTCTGGCGAGTACATGCACTCTATAGCAAAAAACTAAAAAAGAAAATAAAAATAATAAAATAAAATATAGAACTATCTAAAAGAAATAAATAAATCTGGAAGCCCTCTGAAAAGACCTAGAGACTTATTTCCCTATCATTTACATTTTTTTTTCTTTTTTTGGAGAGGTTTTTGCTACAGGGCGCATGTGCTTGCCAGAAAGACAGAGAGAAAGAAAGTGAGAAGTGACCCAAAGGGGAAATGGCCACACCACAATCCCTTCTCCTCCATTCTCCTCTTGGGATCTTGGGCATACACACACACGTGCCCGGTGTGAGGTTAAGCCGCTGGGTCTGGGACTCGAGCCGCGGTCCACTACATGGGAGTCCAGTGACATGGCCATTAAGCTAACTGCTGGTCCCTATCATTTACATTTCAAAGTGGCTGAGGGGAGTTAGCTATTTACATTCTGAAGAACTGTAAATGCCAGGGCTTCTTTCTCTTTCTCAGAAGTTGGGGGAGGGGGGGACCAGCAGTTAGCGTAATGGCTATGTCGCTGGACTCTCACATAGTAGACCGCGGTTTGCATCCCGGACCCGGTGGCTTAAAACTCACGCCAGGCGCATGTGCATGTGTGCCCAAGATCCCGAGAGGAGAATGGAAGAGAAGGGATTGCGGAGTGACCATCCCCCCTGGGGGGTTATTTCTTGCTGTCTGTCTGTCTGGCGAGCGCACGCACCCTATAGTGAAAACCTCTCCAAAAAAAAAAAAAAAAATGGGTTCCTCTTCTCCTCTTCTGCTGTACAAACCACCATATATACAGGATGACATATGGCTTGGATGGTGCCATCTGCGGGCTACCGGGCATGGAGAACCAGTGAATTTATTACTGCAAGTAATAATAACTGATACCTGCTCTTAAAACTTCATATTGGCTTTCAGGATAAAATTAATAATATAGATATACTCACCACAAAGGGCAGGATGCACTCATGCTGATTTTGTACCACATACACGCTGAATAGGGACATACGGCTAGGGCCCATCAAACTACAGGCTAGAGAGAAAAAGTTCTGCAGAGCCTCACAGAGGTTGGAGCAAATGCCAGCCCAGGATGGTAGAGCAATGTGCACGATGAGAAGTCGTGGAGGCTGCTGGTAAAGTTCCATGGGAATAGAAGACCCTTTACCAGTAGTTCGTTCGTGATACATGGCTGCAAACCAACAGGTGAAACTGTAGCCACTACCTGGATAAAAAAGAAAGAAAGAAAAAAGAAACCACCATCTTTCATAAAACTGAATTATGTGCTCTGTTTAACAAATAACACAGGTCAAGGGGACTATATCCAGAGAGTCAGATTGGGCACTAAATCAAGCTCCTCTAGTTTATCTCATGTTAAGAGCTTCCAAAGGATAAAAATGGCATGACAACAGAAGAAAGAAAACCTGTTGTGGATGACATGTTTGTGTGTACAGATAATTTAAAAGAGGACTGGCTCTGTGGTATGGCACAGAGGTAATGTGCTTCTCAAGAGAAGCCAGATGCATGCGTGACAGTAGTTTGAATCCCTGGCCTGGTTGGCCCAAGGTTGGCACCCATGTGAGTGTCCAAGATCTGATGGACTGGAGGACTGGAGGAAGAGGATTGTGGCATAACCAGACCCTGTGAAGGGTGCTCCTCTCTCTCTCTCTCATTCTCACGTGCTCTAATCATGAATGAGGGGCGGGGAAGAAATATAAAATAATCTAGAGTTTCACAATCATCTTTAAAAGGTTTCCTCATCTTCTGTTAAGTTCTGGGGATCTGCTGTTTAAAAATACTAATATACAATATAGTAAAAATTTTAATTTTAAAACTTTAAATATAGCATGACATCTTTTTAAGTGTTATTTTTAGTTTGATACTAATTTATAGAAATGTAATAATTTCCATATTGATTCTATATTTCACAAACTCACTGCACTCTTTTACTAATTATAATAATTTTTCTGTAGATCATTTTGGGTTATTTTTGTTCACAATCATATAATCTGTAAATTAATGATATGCACCAGGATACATGAACAAAGTCAGATGAAGCAGCAAAAGGACTATTTATAACAGCTTTATTTCCAACTGCCCCAAACTACAAACACAAATGTCAGTCTACTTCAAAATGAATAAATCATGGGGGACCAGCAGTTAGCTTAATGGCTATGTCACTGAACTCCTATGTAGTGGACTACAGTTCAAGTCCTGGACCAGGTGGCTTAAACTCACGCCGGGCGCGTACGCATGTGTCCCCAAGATCCCGAGAGGAGAATGGAGGAGAAGGGATTGCAGCGGGCCATTTCCCCTGAGGGGGTGATTTCTTGCTTTCTGTCTCTCTGTCTCTCTGGCGCACGCGCCCTATAGCAAAAACCTCTCAAAAAAAAAAAAAAAAAAAGAAAAGAATAAATCATGGCATATTCACAGATATAGTGATGAAAGTGAATCAACTGCAATTACATGCAAAAACATAGATAATTCAAAGAAATACAATATTGAATAAAAAAAGCAAGACACGAGGAATATATATACAAGAGGGCTTCAAAAAGTTCATGAAAAATGGAATTAAAGTATGACTTTATTTTAGTGCAAAGGCTTTTTGAAATCCATGCATAGTTTTTTTTCATAATATGCATTTTCTTTTTCTTTTTTTTTTTTTAATGTTTTTGGTGAACTGACCTTTATTTTATTACCTTACCTACAAATCATGCATGAATGCCTTGAAATTAGTTTTCTTTGAATAAACGCATTTTTACTCAGCAAAATTCAAAAGGGGAAACATTAGGCCTTTCTGGTGTAGGAAAAGCCTTTCAACAGTCCCTAAGTGATTTTCACAAAATAAAAAAAAAATGGACCCCAGTTTTACAGAAGTTTTGGCTCAATTTTACCAAGCACCAAGATGTGCCACAATAGTTAAGGCAAGGCAGAAGCAAGTTACCAAAAATATAATACACCAGTTACTAATACAACAGTTTATTGCAGTCTGAAAACAGCCATTGTTTTTTTACTGACCAGATTACAAAAATAATCATGGCGGATACCTTAGTTCATCCTTCTAATAAGTCTGTTGATCTGGTCTTCCCTTTTGCCAGAATCTCCACCTTCTACAAAATGGGTAGTCTTTTTCTTCATTCCACCTCGTGGAGAAGATAATTTGAAGGACCACAGGAAGTTATTTGCTTCTTTGAAGTGTTTTCCAACAGTATAGATTTCATGAATCAGATCCTCCATGCAGATGGTGCCAAACTGATGAAGAGATGGAGCAATCAAAGAATTATCTGTCAAAGCAATTTGCTTATTGATTTTGCCATAACCACGTTTGTAGCTCAGTTCATTTACTGACTTCAGGTTCGGGTACCCCCATGCACTATATAGTTCCACAATTCTCAGCATGTTAATTGAGGCCTTATTGAGCCTAACGAAGGTGCCATTGAAGAGCTGGCAAAGACGAAGAAGCCGCAACACCTTTCGAACCTTTGGGCTCACTCCATTGATACCTCTGATCTTGATGACAAACGCCAATTTGGGTTCTGCAGGTACATAGAAGTTGCCAGCTTTTCTTGCCATCGTGGCAAAGCAAATCTCAGTTCTGCACATCTGTCTATATTCCTTATGACAAGTGCTTAGCTTTTTCATAGATAAGCTTCCTCCTCACCTTTTGAAGCATCTTTCCAGCAAACTTCTTTCTCAGGCACTTGATCTTCAGTTCAGCAAAATTCCTTGGCTTTTTCTTAAGGGTTTCTGGCACAGCAGGAACCTTTTTCTTGGTAACTTCCTTAGCAACAAGAGCCTTTTCCTTGGTTTCTGCTGCAGCAGGAACCTTCTTTTTCTTCTCTTGAACACTCTCCATGATTCCAGCCAGAAAAGAGTACCATAATATGCATTTTCCATGAACCTTTTGGAGACTGTGTGTGTGTGTGTGTGTGTGTGTGTGAGTGTGTGTGTGTGTAGAGCACTGTTCTACCTACAATGATTTTTAAAATAAGTAACTATATTGTTTAGAATGCATACACAGTGATGAAACCATAATACAAAAAAATTATTATCATAAAAAATTAAGATAGTTGGGCCAACAGGTGGCATAGTGGTTAAGGTGCTGGATTCTCACATGGCCAATCGCAGTTTGAGTCCCAGATTTGGAGGTTTGTTTCCTCACTTTCTCTGTCTCTCTCTGGTAAGTGCATGTGCCCTACAGCAAATTTAAAAAATAATAATAATAAAATTAAATAAATAATTCTAAAAATATTTTAAAAATTTAAAAAGTAAGATATTTCTCTAGAAAGGAAGGAAGGAGAGCAATATGATTAAGAAAGATAAGAGGGAAGATTTTGAGGTGTTGGTAATGTTCTATTTCTTTTTTAAAAATAATTATTTTGTTTAACTTTATTTATTCATTTATTTTAATTTGATCAGACAGGGACAGTGTGAGAGAGAGAGAGAGTGGGAGAGTGAGAAAGCAAGCCGCTAGGTCTGGGACTCAAACTACAGTTGGCCATGTGACAGTCCAGTGCCTTTAACCACCATACCATGGGCCGGCTCCCTATTTCTTGATCATTATTGTGATTACATGACTGTTCACTTTATAATTATTAAGTTGCATGTTCATGTTGTGTGATATTTTCTCTACATATGTTATTTTTAACAATGAAGAAACTTCACAAAGAACACTAGGACAACCATAAAAGAAAACATATAAGAAACATGATTAAAAAAAGATACATAGGGACCAGAAGTTGGCGTAATGGCTATGTTGCTGGACTCCCATGCAGACAACTGCGGTTCGAGTCCTGGACCTAGTGGCTTAAAACAAACACTGGGTACATGTGCATGTGTGCCCAAGATCCCGAGAGGAGAATGGAGGAGAAGGGATTGTGACATGGCCATCTCCACTGGGGGAGTGACTTCTTGCTTTCTGTTTCTGTCTCTGTCTTTCTGGTGAGTGCACATGCCCTATAGCAAAAACCTCTCCAAAAAAAGATATATAGATCTATTTTTTAAAAAAGTTCCCACCTCTGGAAATTATAATGATTCTATATAATTGTTTTTAAGCTAAGGAATGAAGAGAAATGGAAAGTTTCTTTGATTCCTCCTGCAACCAAGAGGAAGACAATTATGCTAATTTTCAGAAACACTTTGGAATTTAGGGTCTTTAAAAATGACTTAAGAATACATACATGAATGTGTTTTTCAAAATAAATCTGTAAAGTTATTCTCTTCAAACTTTCCATTTCAGATGGTGGAAGTCAGCATTCATCTTTCAGCCATGTTTTATTGAATTCCTATTAAGTGCTGTGTACAGCTAAACAAATAAGTGAACGAACATGCTAACTATTGAAAATAATCTTGAATAAAACATCTGAATTAATGACTAATGTATTTACCAAGAAAGCACATACCATAAATGTCTTTTTTTTTTTTTCCGAGAGATTTTTGCTACAGTGCATGTGCACTCACTAGTGAGACAGAGAGACTGAAAGGAAGAAATCATCCTCTGGGGGGATGGCCATGCTGCAATCCCTTCTCCTCCATTCTCCTCTTGGGATCTTGGACACACACACACACACACACACTGTACTTTTAAATTAAATGCTTGGAGTCAATTTCTACAAGCACAAGCACTGTTCAGACTACTCTTGATTTTTTTTACAAACAAATAAAACACTTCAATTCTCAATGTTTCTAATGTTTTAGTGTGTGGAACAGTTTTACTATTTCTCCACATACTTAGAGAGTAAGAAATTAAGAGAATTTTTAATGCTTTGAAAATAATTTTAGAGGTCAGGGAACGACTGTAACACTTCCCATGGATTACTAAGATCTTTGAATGATGGAACTAGCAGTTAGCGTAATGGCTATTTGCTGAACTCCCATGTAGTGAACCGTGGTTCAAGTCCTGGACCCAGTGGATTAAACTCATGCCGGGCGCGTGCGTCCCCAAGATCTTGAGAAGAGAATGGAGACAGGATTGTGGCATGGCCATCCCTCCTGGGGGGTAATTTCTCGCTTTCTGTCTCTCTGGCTAGCTCATGTGCCCTATAGCAAAAACCTCCCCCCTCCCCCTCAAAAAAAGGTCTTCGAATGATTTCAGCGTGCACAGTCATTTTTAGATCCCACAATAATGTGCAATTGAAAGACTAATCTTTAAATGAGGTAAAGGGCAGCTCTCTTCCCTTTAGCCTCAAACATGATCAATTAATACCTCAGATGTATCTGGACACAGCACTAAAAGCAGGACCTGACATTATTTCTGGCCCTACCGTCCACCTTTGCCAAGAACATCCTCTTAATGGTTTCCCCCAGCAAAACGGCTAAGCCTGGAACTGGGCCTTGAACCACTAAAACCCATCAGGTTACTCCCATACTAAAAACCCTTCGAAGACTTCCAATTGCACTTGGAACGAAATCCGGACTCCTTACCCTGGCCCCTGGCCCCGAAGTCCTGCATGTGTTTTCTGCCTAACCTCTCCATCCTCAGCCAGACCATCCTTCTCCCACCCAGCCTGGAGTTCTTTAGTGCGTGCGGCTCTAGGGCCCCTTAGGCCGCCTTAGAGCCCTGAGGACTCCCTAGTCCTGTGGTAAAGGACTGCAAGGTTTCCCTGAGGCGGCGCCGCATTGCAAATTTCGCCGGCCCTATGCGTTTTTGCCTTCGGGGCCTTCTTACATTTAAGAAAGATGTTCGTGGGCCCTAAACATTTCATTTCCCCCCTGTCGGGAGGAACAGTGGAAACCTTTTCTTTACCTTAAGGGTTCACCGTCCAAGAGATCAAAGCATCCCGCGGCCAAAGTCCCCTGGGCGGTGGGGAGCGCGCAGCGGGGCGGGTCCTTGGCGCGGGGGTCCCGCGGGGGAACGCAGGCCGGCGACGCTGGCCCTCGAGGAGCGCCGGGGGACGACTGTGACCGCGGGCGCCCCACACCTGCCCGGTCTGCGCCGCCAGCACCTTTGGCCAGAGCTAGCCGCTTGCCGCGGGAAGCGCGGATAGCCCCGCCTGGCGGGAGGGTGGACACCCCATTACCTGGCCCTCCCGGCCCTGGCGCGCACCGTGCGGCCCTCGGCGCCCCCCTCAGATGGCCCGGGCGGCCGCAGGGCTCGCCTCAGGCTGTGCGGGGACGCGCCGCCCTCCTGCCGGGCTCAGGGAGCGGGCGGACCCCTGCGGAAACCGAACCGGCCCCACGTCGGCCTTGGCGTCCCTCCCGCCCACCGCAGGCTCGGGTGGGGGCGCCCTTGGTCTTG